CAAACTCATCCTTTGGTTCAATTATTCCTACTGAGGAAAATTTCAATTGTGCTTAATTTACCTTCCACAAGTAGGTGTCAGGCTTAAATGTAATGCATTCTCAATGTACATAATTATTTTCATTTTAGATCAATGAACAGAAACCTTGCTATATATCATTTATTTTTTGTAATATATACTTACCATTACAGATGTTAATGAGTGCAGATTATCGCCTTGTAATAACGGAGGAAATTGCTACAATACAGATGGTTCCTTTAGATGTTCATGTACATCAGGATGGACAGGAGGAGTGTGTGAAAACGGTACAAAACGTCTATTGACAGAGTCCAGACTTCACACTGTATAACTGAAAGTTACGCAAAATTAAGTTATCGCAATAAAAATCAAAAAGTTAGTTAAGCCATGGACTTGTATTTTGCTCTTGCCATTGCAGTTAAGAAGTTTCAATTTTGTTTTTTAAGTGGTGCTTTTCCCCCTTTTCTTGATATTATTGTGAACACTGAGAAAAGTTATGATCCCATTTCTAAGACTGAACCAAAAAAGAGAAAATCTTGGGATAGAGCATTTTGTTACAGATATAGATGAATGTTCTACACTGTCGTCTGCTTGTCACCATGGAGGTCAATGTACCAATACAGTAGGATCGTTTACGTGCGCATGCTCGGCAGGATGGACAGGACCGACATGCAATCAGGGTAATATTTCAAGTTTTGTTTTGAATAAAAATTATTTTCTTATTTGGGGGGTAAAAAAATCGTCATCATTTGGAAATTGTTTACATTGGCCTTTAATCTTTGCAGACGTCAATGAATGCACATCTAACCCATGTATGCATGCTGGAACTTGTACAAATACAATAGGGTCATATAAATGTAGCTGTAGCCCAGGTTGGTTAGGAGACATCTGCAATCAAGGTATGGGTACATTGTTACAAACAAGACGTCGGGAACAAGTCAGAATGAGACTTGTAGAACAATATTTTCTTCATTACTATACCAGAATGGTAAATGTCATATCATAATTTTGATTTACTGGTAGGAAGTGAATTAAAATTAACTATTTACACATGTATACAAAACATGCACATCTATCTTCAAGACTGTTGGAGAAACCAACTGAAATTTAAACCATTTATGAAGATGAACAAGGGATCATTAACTTTGTTAATGGTAATCTAACAACCAAGCCTATGATAAACGTGATGACTTTATCTTTTCTATCATCAATTTCCCAGCAATATACCTTCATCAACTGCATACGGAGTTTATATAACTCAGTTGATTCGATACGCAAGAGCATGCTCTACGCATGAACAATTTCTAAAACAGGTAAATTATTGACAAACAAACTGATGAAACAAGAATTTCAGCAGTCTTGTTTAAAGTCATCATTTCCTAAGTTCTATGGTCGATACAATGACCTTGTCGGCAAATACAATTTATCATTGAGACAAATGCTGACTGATGTTTTTCATACTTATTATTAGTCCATTATTTATGCACTGAATTGACAATGGATTTTCCCGTTATTTCCCGATCATGACAAGGAGCACGTGCACACGGCGGGTTTAACCGGTTGGCAGGGGATACTTACTCCTCCATGGCACCTGATCCCACATCCGTTGTTTTTGAGGTCCATGCTTGCTCTTCTCCTATTTTGTATTGTTTTATGGACTTTTGATCTTGAATGCTGTTCGTTATCTCCACATGTTTCATTCATACCTTGCTTTCCCTTGGGTTTTGTTACTAAATTTTGAAATTTCTATAGTATGTCATAATCAAAATAAACTACATGTGCATTAAACAAAGATATCATTAACAAGTGTTACTAAATCGCATTTATTTTGTGTAATTAAAAATAATTTAATGTTTTTTTTTTGACTGACCATTACAGATGTGGATGAGTGTAGTGATAACCCTGCTCCTTGTCAACATGGCGGGAGCTGTACAAATAATGTCGGTTCCTTCACTTGTCACTGTCCGTATGGTTGGAGGGGTAATACTTGCAACGAAGGTACAAAATATAACATCTTACCCTTCTAGTAGCATTTTTGAACATATTAACTTTTATAGGTAATCAATAAATTCTGATTCCAATGATATGAATATTTTTTGCAAGTACATGTACAATCTTTGCCAAATATGCAGAGCAATACTGGAACAAAATTAATAGTTCTTTTTACAAAGTATTTTGGTGAATAATAAACACCATGGAGTTTAAATATCTACATATTTCCCCACAATTTTGTATTTGTTCAGATGTTGATGAATGTTCCATCCACACGCCTTGCATTATGGGAAAGTGTATAAACACGGCAGGTTCCTATCACTGCCATTGTAACACGGGCTTTACCTCAACCCATTGTAACAAAGGTATGGATAGTGATTGAAACTGTACAATAACAATTTGGATAATTTTATTTTTCTGCATTCTTAATTGTTTATTAATTATTTCTTTTCCTAGATATTGATGAATGCTTTCAGCATCCTTGCAAACATAACGGTGTTTGTGTCAATACGATATCATCCTTCATGTGTAAATGTGAGAGTCCTTGGGTTGGAAATACTTGTGATATAGGTACAAATACCTTACTGAAATTTAATTCTTGTTTAAATTCACCCTAAAAATGACAGTGAATACATAAACTTTAGCATCTAATTCTTTTGAGTTAAAAAGTAAAAAGCAATAGGCCCACCAGACCTTTATCTTCTAATTGAATATATAAAGTGTTCCTTTCAATCAACAACCAAAACCTGATTCAAGCAAGAACCTGAGGAAAAAGGAACAATATGCATGTATACAAATCTCTAGTGCACATGTCTATAAATGTATACTAGTTAGTAATTTAATGCAACACTGTTGTCAACGTATTTGACCCCAGTCGGTTTAGAAATATTTAAAAGATATTCTGGCAATGCTAATTAGGTAGCATACCTATAGACATAAAACATTTGTTGTACTTGCACCACAATTTACTCCCTTTGAACCTTTTTTTAAATATACACGTGGATAAAGCAGTCTTAATATTTGAAGAATTTTTAATACAGCTTATAAATGCTTTTATAAAACGCAATCATAGCAAAAGTAATGATCTTTCGACAATTTAAGTTAATAACTTAATACAAAAGATGAAGAGGGTACAAAACTTGACTTAATCAGTTAGATGTCACAAAAATTATATTATAAGGAGAAATTTAACTACAGGTAAATAATCAGTGAAAGCTAATCAATGAACAGTTAAAGCAATATGAACTGCAACTTTGATGTCGGAATTTTGTTATGCAAAATTGATAATTACTTTTTCAATGACAGAGAAAAATCGTTGATAAACTCTTGTTCATATTTGCAATGGAAGAACTGTTTATAAGCTTCGATTGAATCAAAACTAGTGTTAATTGTAACGGGGACTGTTACAGATGTTCCCCAAACGCTCCCCAAATCCCTTTTTGTGTCTTATTCCTGTAATACGTTTTTTTTTATTTGCTCAGTGTCGAAGGATTTAATTTAAGAATATAAAAGTTACAATGATATCAACTATATATCATTTAACCTTTCAAATGCGCATGCATGTGCAAGATGATCATGGCATGTTGGCTACAGAATTCCTGAGAAGCAAAAGAAAATAATACGGATATAAATGTATTTTAGTCATTTTGCGCATGCGCATGTGCTTGCATGTCCATGCATTAAATTTTGATAGTAGCATAATATAGGAATCTATTATTCTTATTCATATTTTAAATTTCATCCTGATTTATTGAGAATTAGGAAAGTTATAGGCATTTAAAGTTTAAGCCAATCAGATTGCAGCGCACGTGCATGCGCGTGCTTTCATGATAATTCTTATATATCATGTTGTAGAACCTTCTAATATATCACTATATTTAAAATTTCAAAGTATTTTGTCAAAAAACAAGAAAGATATTGAGACTTTAGTTTCAGCCAATCAGAGCTTAGCGCACGTGCATGCGCGTGAGATCTTGCTAATTTGACCATGTCCTGTTGTATATAATACTATTATATACTTATATTATTATTTTCAAAACATTCCATCAAAAAATAGAAAAGTTACGGCTACATCTATTATATTGGTCATTACACGTGTTGCACGTGCACGCTCTTGCAAGCACGTGCGCGCAAAATGACCTTGATTCCGCAAATCTACATAACATGTCTACTTACCCTAAAAAGGTTTTGCCTACATCGGATGAACATTTTAGATCATTCGCGGACAAATAAGTACCCAGGAAGAAGAAAAATAATAATAAGAAACAGAGTAAAAACAATATGTTCCCCAACTTCGTTTGGGGAACATAATTACATTACTGTCGTCCTGTACAATAATGATTTCTTACGTAAAACTGTATATTGGATTGTATATAGAAGTCTTTCTTCTGCTTTATTTTAGTCTAATTGATCATAAAGGTTTAAGTTAAGGTACATACAAATTTATCATAACAACACATTTTAACAGCAAAATAAAATTTTCAAAATTGCAGCTCATATTGCTTTAATGTACAACTTAGATTCTACAAACTAACTAACCAATTCTTTAAAAAAAGTACTAGTAGTATTGCAAATTCAATACATGAAAGGAAAAGGAAAATGCTCTGTAAAGCTATTCGCATATCAACAGTATGTACTTTAACTAATATTATATCCAACAGAAGTGTTTCTGCACATGTTATTTCCATGAAATGCAAAAGAAAAAAATATTTCAAACAATTAAAACTTCCTAAATTTCAGATTCAAATCTACTTGGGTGATGGGCAGACAAGTACAGCAAACTGAATTTTGAAGAAGGTCTATGAATGCATTTGTAGTTGATATTTATAAATAGACATATACATTGTATTAATAAATTATACAAGAATTATAAGATGGACCATCTTGGGTTGAACTCAAAATCCTTTGTCATATAAAACGAGAAACTGGTAGTTACTCAGATTTAGTAACTTTAGGAGATCGGATAAAATTCCATCTTAATAGTGCACTATCATCTCTTGGATCCTTTAGTTAATTTCATCTTGGCACGATTGTACAAGTTAAGGTAAAACTGAAAATAAGCAGTTTTAAATCTCTGGTCAAATATTCCGTAAACGAAACAGTTACACACGTGATTAATCAACAGCAATCTGACGCTGAGCCGATACACCACAATTCCAGGATCCCCCAAGAAATTCTGTAGATCATGACCAAGTGTCAACAGAAGTCCTAGAGTGACGTATGGCAGATATGAAATGATGAAAATGACGGTCACACAGAAAAGAACCTTGGTTGCTTTTTTATTATCCTGTGAGGTAGGTCGTCCGAAAACAGTTCTTTGTCTTGATAATGTTTGATAAAGTCTTTTATGGTCTATACTTTGGAGTGAGTGATGTTTGCCGCTGCTGAGTTTCTTGCAGGAGAAACATTCAATGCAGCAGCATTTCTTGTGTGAAGCTCTGAGTCTGACGCGATTTTTGGGTAGCATCAATGACGTCAACATCATGTGGACCTTTGCTCGTCTCCTTGTGGTGATTCCAATAGAGATGTAAGTGAATAGCAGAACAACTAAACCGCATACAAATACAAAGTTTAGAAACAAAATATAAATCACAGGAAGGACGTATTCCGTACCCAATTCGTTTTCAGTGAAACATATCCTTTTTGTCGCGTTTTCTGATACTTTGACAGTTTCGAGACCAAATAGAAAAGACACTGGAATAGACACGATGATAGCAAGAAACACACAGAATTTGATCATTCTTTTGGCACTGAAGACTGACCACTGATTTCTCATTGGATGGCAGACGTGGCGATAACGGTCAACTGCTATCAGGATCAGGATAAAAATTGACGCAAGGGTCAGTATGGATTGGTTTGATCGGAACAATTTGCATGTGACAGAACCGTAGAAATCGTAAGGATAAAGAAGGTCCAGAATTTCCAGTGGCATGTGAACAGAACACATCAGAAAGTCGATTACGGCAAGGGACAAAACGAATATGACGTAATTACTGTTTTTCTTGAACTGGGTTGAGAACACTACCAGAACGTGTATGTTGCCAAAGAAACCTACCACCATAAGAATGGCTACGTATGTGACGACTGGCTTTTGTCCTACGTTGGATTTATCAAAGACTTCGTCTGTGTTCTTGTCGATGATTTCATCCATCCTTGCAGAGGTTTTGTTCAGTAATCATCAAGGATTTATGGACTTGTCTGGAAAGTAAGGACACATACCGGTATTGTAATTTACCAATTTAAATTTTGTTCCTGAGCTGTTTGTTCCTTTCTAGGTAGTAAAGCTTTAATAATTAACACATTTCCAAAAATGAACAGTGCGCTTACCTCATCTTTAATTTGATAATCCAATAAAAAAATCATTAATCGTTATCATTTTAAGGAAGTTTGGTTCTTCAAGCTGAACAAATTAGGCCTGTGTGCGATAAATTGTTTTACCGGTATTTCTTTTTTCATTATCATTTTCTGTGTATTCAGCTGTAATAAATTTTATGTCACCATCTTCATATTGACAGATATCAATCTCCTACAGAAGGAATCTGGTTCGATGGATGGTTGTGAAGGAGAATGATTGACCAATTATCGTCAAATATCAATAACTAGACCACTGTCATCGAGTCGATCCGAAAAGCAATTCAAAGAGCAATAAAAATTATAATAACACCCTAGGTCACCATAGAGAACAAAGCATAAGGATTAAGTAACTGAATTTTGACATCATTTACAGTTTGTTTTTTTTTTTAATTAAATGGAATTTACTTCCCTTATCATTGGTCATTTGCAACAGTACATGTATTTTGTTAAAAGCACAATTACTATGAAGTTGATATCATAAAGGTGCTTGAGATTCTGAATATCTATTTACTTTTAGATCAGAACTTCAAACAATCAATTTTCCATGAGTACCCACTGCGCCTCGTTATTAGCAGTTCTATTTTTTGTATTCACATGAAGCAGAATCCATTCAAATTCTAGAAATGAGGAAAAAGATAAGACTTGCTGTGACCTTTAACGCCACGTTAAGAGAAATCGACGACGTATTATCAAGTAAGTTAATTAACAATAGTAAAGTTCTACATTCATTTGTGCAAGTGAGCTTGAAATAAAAGATACCATAGAGTCTGCCACATCTGTATTAATAATAATTTACTAGCAAAAAATGTTAATGATAAACTAACAACAAAGTCTTACGAAAAAACGTGATGACTTTAACTCTTCAACTGTCATTTCCCTTACTGATATAGCAATATCCCTTATCACAAGCTGCTTTTGCAAGAGATTTATGTCTCTATTAATTCTATAAGCAAAAGCATGCTCTATGCAAGAACAATATCTAAAACGAGGCAAGCTTTTGATAAACAAGTTGACGAAACAAGAATATCAAGTCTCATTTAAAGTCATCATTTTGCAAGTGCTATGTTTGATACGATGGATTTGTCAGCAAATACAATTTATCCTAAAATTCAAATGGTGACAGAATGTTTTCATATCAATTGTTAGTGAGGTCATTATTTACACACTCAATTGTCCAAGGATTTTCCCTTTTTTGTTATAATTAGTTCATTATCTATACACTGAATTGACGACGGATTTTTCCGTTATATCCCGATCTTGACATGGAGCACATGTCGGGTGCTAAAAAGGTGTGAGAGTCCACACCTACCGATCACAACCGCCATGTGCTCCTTGTCATGATGGGGGAACATATGGAGATAACGAACAGTATTCAATCTCAAAGTCCATAAAACAATACAAAATAGGAGCACAGCAAACACGGACCTCCGAAACATCAGAGGTGGGATCAGGTGCCATGGAGGAGTGAGCATTCCATGCCGACCCGATCTGAACTGTGTGCTAGAGGTCTACGTTTCTTTCTGATCCTGATTTGCATTTTTTGAATGAACTTTTGAGTTTGGATACTTCTCTTTATTGTCATATTTATTAATTCAATGCAAATAAGTCTATCTTTCACTCTAGTCAACTCAGCATTTGACCGAGATCACTTATATTTAACAATCATTCTAGCTAAAGCAACTGCAATACAGCAGCACTTCTAATGAAATATTTTTGGGGTAAATGTGACTTACCTGGGAACTCACATCATACTGAATCAAGCGAAATACACAGTGTAGTACCTAAACGGTTGCTATTAGAAGAATTGTGCGTACATTACTGCTTTCTAAAAGTTGTGCAGTTGCTGCTGGAAAAAATGAACGAAATTTTAAGTATTTTTCTTCACTGGCACACCAAAATGGTCAATAATCCAATTATTAAAGTTAAGCTGCTAGGTATTTTACTTACATTTCACAATCATTCCAGCCAAAGTAACTGCAAGACAGCAGCACTTCCAATGAAATTTTTTTGGATACATTGTAGTACCTAAACGGTTGCTATTAGAAGAATTGCACGTACATTACTGCTTTCTAAAAGTTGTGCAGTTGCTGCTGGAAAAAATGAACGAAATTTTAAGTATTTTTCTTCACTGGCACACCAAAATGGTCAATAATCCAATTAAAGTTAAGCTGCTAGGTATTTTACTTACATTTCACAATCATTCCAGCCAAAGTAACTGCAAGACAGCAGCACTTCCAATGAAATTTTTTTGGATACATTACTTGCTTAGAAATTCACATCATACTGAATCAAACCAATATTAAACAAATGTTCATCTGTTTATTTCCATTAAAAAGTGTACATGTATACATAAAACTGTATATTCTGAAATAATATAAAAATATTTTTCATAAACAAACAAAATGTTCACAGTTTAATGATTGGAAACAAAGTGAACCAGAAGTCTCTGTCGAGACTGTAGCTCTACAGGTTTGTACTTAAAACAAAGGATGAGAAAAGAAGCCATTGCCATCAGACCAAAACTATAGAAGGAGTAGCATTTTAAAGGAATTTCTTAGACATTTCTATTTTTAGTAACTATGGGAACACTGTTCATCAAAATCAAAAACCGATGCACTAGATTACCGGTATGTATCTTTGTTTAATCTACTTGTGTAAGAAGTTATATTGAAATCAGACCAAAACTGTAGAAAGAATAGCGTTTTAAAGGAATTTCACAGAAAATTCTATTTTTAGTAACCATGGGAACACCGTTCATCGAAATCAAAAACCGATGCACTATTCTATGTATCTTAGTGTAGTCTACTTGTGTGCCAAGTAATATTGAAATCAGACCAAAACTGTAGAAGGAGTAGCGTTTTAAGGAAATTTCACAGAAAATTCTATTTTTAGTAACCATGGCAACATCGGTCATCAAAATCAAAAACCGATGCACTATTTTATGTATCTTAGTGTAGTCTACTTGTGTGCCAAGTTATATTGAAATCAGACCAAAACTGTAGGAGGAGTAGCGTTTTGAAAAATTGTTTACAGACAGACAGACAGACAGACGGACGGACGACGGACACCTTACTATCGCATAAGCTCTTCTGGTCTCTGACCAGTAGAGCTAAAAACTAAGATAAACTATCACAGAGGGTAAATGATGGTTTGATCACAATCTGATTAAATCAGATCCTTTGATCCATTCAAATGGATCCTCACAAGGATCTGAAGAAACCCCAATCATGGACATCTCCTGGTGACCTTTCAACTATCCAATCAAATGTTTTCTTCTTAGAATTTAAAAGTATCTCGAAATTTAGTTACAGAAGTGAAAGCTCTGATGATAAACAAACATTAAAAAAATGACCCGGTTTCCATAGCCTCTCAAAAGAACAACCACAGTTTTTTTCTGTACAGAAAAAAATAAAGTATTTGATTTTTGCCTATTTGTTTTGTACAATATGACAAGATCTCCTCCACATTGCTTTCACCTCTATATTCATTTTCCCGAATGTCTCTTAAGTACGATCTCTCTGATTGGTCAGAATTTAATGAATATTTTTATTAGAAAAGTCACCTACAGATGACCCTGAATGGGGTTTCTTCAGATCCTTGTGTAGGGATCTATGAGAGTGGATCAAAGGATCTGATTTTAATCAGATTGGTTTGATAATCAATGCAAGCTACTCTGTAGGTCTGAGTAAAGTCTTCTGTATAAAATGCATGAAAATGTTTATGTACCAAGACATCATAAATCTCCTTCAGTTATAAAATACAATAAATACCGGTATTTCTCACACTTGACAACATTTTTTGGTCATCAGTATTATTATTTAGATTAACTGATTAAAGAACAAATGATTATTTCATGGAACACTTCATTTGAAAAATATTATTTAATGCAAAATAAGTACCTGTGACATTTTGAACAAAAAGAAATTAGCACCATAAAAAATCTATAGTAAAAGTTGAATCAAACATCATAAAACATAGGTTATGTATCTTCATTTGAGAAGATGATATGTGGATTTTCTATTTCTTAGTAACAAACCACACTGTCCCTGAATGAATGGAATGCAAATGTCTACACATTCTGTGATGTTTAAAGATATGAAAGTAGAATAACAGACACTGATCAGTACCCTGCTTTAAACTTTTAAAATTTACAACCAGCACTTTTGCAAATTTCAAGTAGAAAATATTAAAAATCAGTTCCTGTCAATTTCTTTGGTAGGATCATATCCTACCATCCTTCTCTATAGAAGGATAAGATTATACCATCCTATTCCATGGTAGAATCAGATCCTACCTTTTTTTCTCCTCATTAGTATCAGTTCCTACTATCCTTTGTCAAGGTAGGATCAGATCCTACTATATTTCTCCTTAGTAGGATCACATCCTACCACTTTTCTCCTTTGTAGGATTAGTTGCCACCAGCCTTCTCTACAATAGGATCAGTTCCTGCCATCTCTCTCCTTTGTAGGATCTGACAAGGTGTAGGCTGGTTTATACCTCAACACTCCATGATCATCAATGTACTGTAACAGTGGATTGGGGTGTGTGTTGTTCATACTACCTAAAGAGGTATATCTGAAAAATAAAAATCCAACAAAATTATTTGTTTATAAAATACTATGACCTGAACAAGCTCAAAATCTGATAGGGCAAGACCTTATAAAGCATGTGACAAATGAAATTAATAAAAATCTTCTTTAGCTTTTTCAACTTGTGCATACTGCTGAGCCAAAATAGAAGAAGATGCAACTCAATTTTTGGTACTCAGTGCTTTTTGTCAAAAGTGTGAAATGTGAAATAAATTCACTTACCCTCTATCATATAAACTACAGTAAGGTATATTTAGGTCTCTAAGAAACTTCCATATATGTCTATAAGACCAGTTTAAAACAGGATTCACCCTCATAAACTGTGGCCAATCAGAATCGGTCATACTGAAGGCTTGTAAATGACCTAAAAAGATGAGAAAAAGTTAGTTAACAGAGGAATAAATAATTTAGTAAAAGAACATCCTTTTTTAAACAATACACAGCAAGACAACAAGAAAATTATGAGAAGGGTATTTAGTAAAACTTCCTGTCATAAAAGGCATTTTTCTCATACTTTCCACTCAAAATCACTACAAAATTGCAGTATATTGCAGTCTGTAAAATCTACATACTTGAGTATGGGTCTGTAATCCTGGTGCCCATTATAACAGCTTTGATGTCAGAATGCTTATCTTTCAACTGTTGGAGACTGTCTTTTATACGACCCTCAAAGTGCAACATCTCAAGTCGATACCTAAAGTATACAACATCTCAAGTCAATATCTAAAATATACAGCATCTCAAGTCAATACCTCTAATTTACATGATCTCAAGTAGATACCTGAAGTATAAAACATTTCAAGTCGATACCTAAAATATACAACATCTCAAGTTGATATATAAAATTTAAATCTCAAGTCAATACTAAAAATATAAATCATTTCAAGGTTATACCTAAATTATACATCTCAAAATGATATTTTTTTTCATTAGATCTCCAAATCTAATGATTACATGCAAAAATTGTAGAGGCAAGATGAAGTGGGTTGGAAATAAACTTTGTACAAAGGAAGAAAATTTCATTTAAATAGAATTTTTACAGGCCTAGTCATTGATATCACAGCATTCTGGCTATGAACTAATTTACAAAACACATATTTTATCAATGAGCAGGTCTGGTTTTAAAAAAAGTCAAATGCTGGATGATTCTAGTGTTTATTCACAGAAATTTTAAAAATATGAATGAAAATTCAAAGAAAAATTATTCCACATACTTATCTCGTGATAACTGTGTAAATTTTTCTTCCTCAGGAAATGGGAGTCTGCTCTTGATATACAAAGCTTTCAGCCTTCCTTGAAAATCGGGATACTTTCTGAAATAAAAATAGGATATCTTGTATTTTCAAAGCCAACTTCTGAATCCAATGTTTTCATCCGATTGTCATTGCCAAAACCCCCAAATGCTGTTATTGTGTTTAAAGGAAATAAAAATTTGTTACATACCTTTTCACAACTGCATAATAAATGTGAAGTAAGACTGTGCAATCTTTTCCTCCATTGAAGCCAATACATATTTCATCTAAACTGAGGAAAGTAAAATAAAGTTAATACATAAGATTCAATTTCATTCAGCATTATTTATTTCTTTTTCCAACATGTTATTGACTTTTTTTCAGGTTTTGTTTTACTCAAACATTCATTATTTATAACTCAAATTTTCTTTGCGGTATCAGTATTCATTACAGCAATGAATTGCAACCACATGATAAATGAGAAAACCATAGAAATTTAAGTATATATAACTACAGTATATCAATGACACTTTTTTCAATATACACTTCATACTAAAAATAACCCCATATTAGGAATACAAAGCACTAGTACTTTAATCCAAACACTGTTTAGTACCTGTATTTTTCTAGACATTCCTCTAATACAGACACAGCCTCTTTAACACAGTTCCTGTAATGGTCATCAGAGTTACTTGACTCGATCACATCATAAACTCTACGTGTTGCATTTTTGATGGGCTGGCTATCATAGTCTACAATGCTACCTGTGAATAGAAATCTCTTCTAAAATCAAACAGCTCTATCCTATACCAAAACAACCTTTTGTAGGCAGAATTTTTAGCAAGGATGCTGAGTTAGCTAAAATTGAATATCACTAAAAATTAATTGCGTTTTATTTGTAGTAACTTCTTTAATGAGCATTTTCAAATTGCTAAAATTAATTTTCACTAAATTTAAAATAGCAACTTTTAAGAAGAAATCGCTAAATTTGCCTCCCTCTAAAATTTCCACTTATATGGTATTTGTAGGCAAGTGTATGGGTCAAAGTACATATACAGTATGTATATTGAAACTTAAAAATGATCTGACTGCAGTTTTTTCCCAATTCAAAACCAAATAAACAATTTTTTTTACATACCTTCAGGTAATTTTTCTTTCAGTGAAGCAATAGCTTTATGTATTTGTTCTGGTTTACTGGATTCCAGCATCAATTTAACTTTGTAATAACTGTATTTAAAAAATGCCAACAATAATAATCTAATTAGTAAATTTAAGTGAGGTATAATAAGCAATTCACAGATGCTAGCATTATATAGTTTTCTTTGTTACAGCTGTAGTTTTTATATTCCTGTTTCAGATTAACTTTTAAATGTTTCTGTCATAAATATACTCCAGCATCAGCTAAATTTAGATATTCATCTAAAAAAATACTGGGCATTCTATTTAAAGAAAAAAATACCGAGTGCTACTTAAATAGGAAAGCACTAAACTTACCTGTTATGAAAGTCTGGGTATGATCCCAGTGTTACATCAAGTTTAAATTCTTGGTCCACCTCATTCAGTATGGCAGCAATTGATACCTCATCTTGCTGGACAAAGATTTCTTCTGTGTAAAAATGGGCATCAGGATTCTTAAACAAATCCTACAATAAAACAACAAACAAAGCACATTCAGATAAATTCTACTTTGTATTCTTTACTGGGGCACTAAAAAATACACAATTACTGAATTAAATCAAAGTACTGAAAGTACTCATGGGAGTTGAACATGGTAATCTGAAAGATCTCACAGGAAGTAGAGGAAGATTTTCATGCTTTCAGATTTAAATCAGCTAGAAGTAATTTGTTAGAGATACAACACGAAACATTAAAAATAATTTCAATTGCATTTGAATATCGACGATCATGGGACTGCTTTTAAATTAGCTGCAGAAATTTTGCTTTCTGACAAAAAATATATTTTGATAGACCGGAGAGCTATAGTGGCACCCATTGAAAAAAAACTGCATATATTTACTGCACACAAAAAAGTGCGTGCGCTGGTTCTCGATTAATTTTTCCATGTTTTTTAACTGTCAGATCAAAATATTACTAACATGTTCTAAAATATTCTTTCACTGTTTCCACAACAAAACATTCCTTATAATTGTTGTAAATAGCCCTTCAGTCCCTTCTGGCTTCTAAATTGAGATCATATAAAACATGTCCATTTATGCTGCGCTGCAATTTTGGTTTGCAAGATAATTTGGTCCAACCCACTTCGTGCAGATGTCAAATATAAGCGAACTTCATAGAGGGGGAAGGGATTTTTATAAATCTTTTTCACGTTTGAGGTAAGAATTAGAAAGAAATCAAAGAATTAATCCAGAACTAAGCTCAACTTTTCGTGCTCAATAAATGTACTGTTTTTACAATGGGTGGCGCTGTAGCTCTGGGGTCTGTCAAAATATTTTTTTTCAGAGAGCTACAGTTCTGCAGCTACTTTTAGATACAGGTCAGTTAGTGCAGATTTGAAAGAGATACAACACTAAGCATTAGAAATAAGTTCAGTTTACTTAGCACCGTTTTTGAAAGTGTGTGTAAGGGGGGGGGGGGGGGGGAGAGAAAAACAATTCAACTTCCCTGATAAAAACCTGACAACAATATGACTAAACCAAACAAACAACCCCCACCACAAAAAAAATAGTTTTTCCAAAATTGAAAATACTATTTTGTGGGTAGGATTCAAACTTCTTTCAGTACCATTTATTACTCAAACACTGCCCTCATACTTATGAAACTTTTGAATCAAACCGCCCCCTTCTCTCTTTTGAATGAAGAGGCAAACACTCTTTTTATTCGATGTTACCATCAACAGACACTAGATTGTCACTTTTCTTTCTCTGATTAAAACAATCATTTGCTTTTCTCTTTTGGGAATGAATGGTTCTTTTCGGACCCAATCATTAATTTTTATAGAATTCTGTGGTTATCTTTTCTATCAAATGTATCTATCTTTATATTCAATAATTTTAAATTTAATTTCAAGTAATTTCTATATAGAAGTAAGTATGTCTGAATACTTTACATTTTGTTCGTTTTACTTTCGAAAATTTTTCACCCATATTGAGACACTACCAATTGCTGATGGAGCTAGCTACATGTAGGTCTATAAATTTTTACCCATACCAGGCATGGGGTAATCGTAATCGAGTAATCGTAATCGATTGTAATGATTACTTTTTTTCAAGTAATCGACAGTAATCTGTAATCGAAGAAATTTTCAATTACTTGTAATCGTAATTTAATAGATTACAGCCCAAATTTCCAATGTAATTATAATTACTTTTTCGATTACTTTCAATTACTTTATACATATACATACATACCTACTTTATACATGAATGTTTTTTTGTAGAATCATATTTCAACAGTCAATCAAACATAAATATAATATACAAACCACTCAATATTTGTTGATTTCCTAACTTTTAAAATCATAACTTGAATAATGTTCACAATAACATTTGCATCATAGACATACTTGTCTAGACTTTTTTTTTCAAATTTTAGATGTTGATAAAGTTTGTCTGCTAACAGAAAATAATATATAGCAAAAATAGATTTGAGTGCTTTTATATAAATAAAAATTATCTGAAATACAAACTATATTGTACTAGCTAGGGCCTATTAGAAAAAGAGAAATACTTTTCATATCTGCTTGTGTTTAAAATTTTCAAAATCATTTCCATGTTTTCATTAAAGATTGACTTGTTTTTTCAATGAGTGTCTGTATTTTAAAAGAGAGGGGTATTAAGTGTCAATGTGTTTATCTTGGTTAATTGCCTGGGATATCCCTGATAATGAGGTGTGAACTGTGAACTTCATAGACTAGTATTTTATAATTAATAAATCCACTACAGGCAAACAATCTTATAAAACAATTGATTGCTCTCAAAACAAATATTTCAACACAGAAGAAATTGAACTATTTGTTATACTTGAAGGTACATTGAGTTTAAATGTTAATCACTACAAGCTCTACTTGATTCATTTTTTCGAAATAATTAAAACCTAGGAATCGTGTAAATGTGTACTGCCAGCATGCAGAATGTTCAGATACTTGTAAATCACAGTAAAATACAGTCAATTCTCGAATTATCGCCATTCGATTCATCGCCATTTTCGCATTACCGCCATGATTTCCCAAGAACGTTTTTCCTGCTATATAAAATTCTCTTTATAACGCCAAATTCGCATATCGCCATCCGCCACCCTGTTTTCACAACAAACGTCCATTTTTAAGTGTCAATTTTCTCGATATACCGCCACAGGTGTATGTGGTCAGTGAAGCACGGCTAATTGGTTGACGCTTCCCCTCTTGTAAAGTATGCAAACCCAGCGAGGTACATGCAATTAAATAATTCAATAAGATTTAAATAAACAATAATTTTAACATGCACTGTTATAATAACTTTGTATTCCATTTAATAAAAATCATTTAGTCACGGCTTCGACACTGTGACGAAAGCGGTCTTTGTTAAAGTACATTGATATTATAATAACGATATTATTTTGATGATCTCTGCTTTAAACTTAAAAAAAATAATTATACGGTATAAATTGTGAACGTTTCATTAACAATGATGCCATAAACAATGAATTTATTCAAGAATTCATTTTACCTACTATCGGCAATATATCACGACGATCGACCCAACACGTTATTTTTTCAATATCCGACGTGCAGATTTACATGCAAACATATGTACTTGTATTTATTTCACAACTGCACATTTTGTTTTAGCAAAATTGTACATTAGAAAGTATTTTCAAATTTAGAAATATGTTTTTATATACATGTGCATGTAATAATAAGAATAGAAATGTTAAATGGTATTTCTAAGAACGGTAACTCTTCTTGTTTCCTAAAAGATGGGAAATTCAATTCATCGCCAAATTCGTTATACCACCATGACTTCTAAATTACAAAAGGTGGCGGTTTATCGAGAATTAACTGTATTAAATAATTTCTGCAACAATCAAGTTATATAGTACGGAGGTTCAAATCCAAACTGCCTGAATACATTCAAACTTCAGAGGATATATCATCAACATTGCTACAAAATATATTTAAATATTTTCCTGCTCTGATATTTAAGGGTGGAAGAAGATTGAATGTAATCGATTATTACACGTAATCGATTACAATGTCTAAAGTAATCGTTTACAATCGATTACAGGACAAAACTGACTGTATTCGATTATTAATCGATTACACAAAATTCCTCCAAGTAATCGATTATTAATCGATTACATTTTTTAGTAATCGTGCCCATGCCTGACCCATACACAGCACTCAGAACCATTGAGCAGTAATCGGAGGGGTCTTTTTGTGCCAGCACCTACAGCGAAATGGGATTTCGGTTTATAATGGTCTCATCAAAAGAGATCATCTCAAAATGCATCCCGCAGGAACGTGAGATGCAAGGATCAACACCTTACTTTGAATCTCTAGAGCAAACTATTTTAACAACTGCGCCACGCGAGTGACACTTAAATTTTGTGATTTTGATTTGACTCAAATGTAATTAAAAATCAGACATAGTTTAACAAGCTACTACAAGAAAAAAACTTGAGGAACGATGTGTTTTCACACATCGATCATTGGGATTATTATACCATTGTGTCTGCATACACGTTTTCATTTCAGTGTGCGAAATTAACGGTGGACCGGTAGACAATGTCTATAGAAAATCTAGTCGGTCTATACCGATCGAAATATTAATAGACCGACTTGTCTATAGGAATTCTGAGTAAGAAACTGGTTCCCTGCTTGTCTCTAATAAACAAACCACAAAAAGGAGGACCAGTTTAAATAAAACGTCTGTATTACACTGATGTATTCCGTTCACCCCTTAGTTATAATAGTTTGTTCCACGATGTATGCAGAAATAATTCGAATTGGAATATTTTATTTTTAACATGAGGGGAGGTTAAGTTGTGATTACTTAATGGCCGCGGACACCAAAACAGTGCAGAAGAAACATGTCCTTCTTCGACCGTTTAAAGTATGTTGAGGGTGCACGCCCAGGAATTATTATTGAGCGGAAGGTAGCGAAGACAGCGAGTTCCAACAAGACAGAAAAAGATGCTGAGTATGACAAAGGTCAGGTGGCAGAGACAGGTCAGGTGGCAGAGACAGAGACTATGATTGAGATGGAACCTGAGCTTATTGAGACAGAATCCATGGAACCAGAAAGTGATTCAGACAGTGAACCTGAACAAAGTGAAAAAGAAAATGAAATGTTGATTAATAAGTTGGTCTATGAGATTGAAAGAGAATATAATTAAACTATGTATGAACAAGTTTTCATGTATTATTTATTTTAATTTCAATATTTTAGCATTGAATGTAGTATTCTAAATTTCGGTCCATAGGAAGTTGCTGCGGTCTATAGAAAATGAAATGTCTATGGTCCGAAAGTCTATAGGACTTTGAAGTTAGTTTCGCACACTGCATTTTAATTGTTTTATTAATAGCCATTCTCTGTAACCACTTAAACTTTGTTGCCACGCATGGTCACCGATTTTGATGAATCTTCACCCATGCTTAGTACTTGACACCAGAAACAAATATCAAACAAAATTTCGTTGCTATGTGTG